GTATACATTAGTTATATGCAAATATAAAGCAGTGACAGGTATATTATAAACAAGTATTACAATTATCTATCTCTTATATAAATTTGTTTTCTGGTTTTGCTTTAACTTAGTTTAGGTGCATTAAGGATTTTCTCTGAGCATGACTGACTGTAAAATTTGTCGCTTTCCAGCTGTGTATGGTGGCACATGCCCATTATCCCATCACTCAGGAGGCAGAGGCAGGTAGATTTTTGTGAGGCGAAGGCCAGCTTCATAGTGAGTGCCAGGTCACCTAGGCTGCATCTTGAGGCCCTGTTTCAAACAACAGTAAAAACAACTAAGCCTGTTTTCTGTGTTTGATTCAGTTCTAGTCAGCCTGGATATGCTACAGAGTACAAAGTGAACACAGGAACCCTGTGGAAGTGCTCAGGCCATTATATTAAGAAAAAGTTTGTACCCCATGGTTAAAGCGCCAAATTTTGTCTTCAAGGGGCTTCTCAACTAATACTGATAAAAATCTCAAGAATAAATAAAAAATAGCTTTAAAACTTAACAACATTCTGTGAGATGGTGGTGGAGCTTGTACTTTAGAGAAGCAGGCAGGAGGATTAGGAGTTCAAAGCCTGCCTGAACTACTTCTCTCTCTGTCTCTCTCTCTCTCTCTCTCTCTCTCTCTCTCTCTCTCTCTCCCTCTCTCACCTTGGTTTTAAAAGAACAGTAATAAGGACCTAGAGAGATGGCTCAGCAGCTGAAAGCACTGGCTGTTTTTCCAAAGGACCAGAATTCAGTCTCAGCACCCACAAGGCAGCTCACATCTGTCTGTAACTCTAGTTCCAGGGGATCTGACACCCTCACACAGACATACATACAGATAAAACCCCAATGCAGGTAACATAAAAATAAATTTAAAAATAAAATCAGATTTAAATAATTTAAATTTAAAATTAAAAATAAAATCAGGAGAAGTGATTCAGCTGTGAGGACATGTGCTGCTCTTTCAGAAGAACAAAGTTGGGTTCCCAGCACCCACAGCAGGAAGGTAACAACTGCCTTTTTGTTCAGTCCCAGCTCATGTGCAGACACACAGACACACACACACACGCACGCACACATGCATGCACGCACGCAATTAAAACTAAAAATTAGGGTGCTGCAGAGATGGCTCAGTGGTTAGGAGGATGCTCTTCCAGACTGCCTGAGTTCAATTCCCAGCATCCTCATGGTAGATTATAAACAGCTGTAACTCCAGTTCCGGTTCCAAGAGATCTGATACTTCACATGCTCTTATCTACCTTCGGGGCCATCACTCCATTCTCCATATAAGATCAAAATGAATCAAAAACCAACAAAACAAAACACAGGACTTGGGGGCTTAATCGGGTGACACGGCACTTGGTTAGCAAGTACAAGGTCCTGGCTCCTGGAGAGATGGATATGGGAGTGAAAGGAAACGAACTGGGCAAGTAGCTCAGTTGAGCCTAACACTCCTAGGGCCCTGGTTTCCATCCACTCCACAACAACACCCCCACCCCACCCCCACACAAAGATAAAACCAAAAGTGATGGAAAGTGTACCACATAGCTGCGGAATGGGGAGGGTAGAAGCATTCTTCCCCGAGAAGCCCTAACCACGGAGGAAGGGATCCCCAGAGGAGCTTCTGCATGATGGACAGTATTCCATCGTGGAATACTGTCAGTATTCCACGTGGAATACTGACAGTAGTCCATCGTGTCCATCGTGGACACACCGGTTTGGACAGGGATGGATTCTGTGCCAAAGGTGGAGTTGGATTTCAGTCAAACGCAAGAGGAAGAAGGGAATGAGGAAGGCTGGAACAGATGCGGACGGGGGAAGGCAGTGGCTCACTCAGGCGAGGCACATACCACCCTTTTTATTGCTATTTTGTTATCCTGAAAAGGGTCTCACTATGTGGATCAGGCTGGCCTGGACCTCACAGATGAAACTGCCTCTGCTTCCCCAGTGTTGCGATTACGAAAATGCACCACCACACGTGGCCTTGCTTGTAAGAGGAGAGAGGATGAAAAGCACAGTTTTAGTTTTAGGTTAGATCTCAGTTAACTCAGGTTCACATCTTCCTGCCTCCACCTGGGGTGTGCTGGGGCTGTAGATGTGGACCACCGCATCCACTTTAGAAGCGTATTTTAAATGCTCAGGGCGACGAGAGTGATTTGTTACTTATGTTTTCTATTTATCTGCTTGTTGTTTTTTATTTCTTTTGAGGCAGAGTCTCATGTAGCTCAGTTGGCCCTGATCTTCTTACCTCTGTTGTCCAAGTTCTGGGATTACATAGGTAGGCAGTTGACTTAGAAGTACATCTTGAATGATAAGAAAGGTTAATGAGAGTTATTTAGTTAGTTAGCTAGTTAGTTAATAGGCAGGGTTTCACGTAGCCCAGGCTGGTCCTGGTCCTCTTACCTCACCTGTCAAGTGCTAGAATTAGAGGTGTGCTGCAACACCTGGCTGACAAAGCAACTTAAAAATCCTTTCACAGCCACGGTGTGTGAGAAGTGAAAATGGGCCTTAGGGTGAGGCGGGGGTGGGGCTTTTGCTTTTGCTATCCTTTATAGTTTTAGAAATTAATCGTGTACGTCTAACTGCTGTGACACACTTGTCATCGAGAAGTCTGTATTAATGGCAAGGGGTTACACAGCGGGTGCCCATCAGTGAACACAATGAGAAAGGGAGACCTGTAGGAAGAAGGAAGTCACTGGAACCTTGCACCCCCACCTCCACCCCCACCCGATCTCCATCCTCTCACATTCTGCTCAAAGCTTACACTTCCTGGCTCCCCTTCTCTTGTCTTCCTACAGGCTAATTCACTTAGAGCAGCAGGTGATGTTGAAGTGTTTTCAGTGGGAAAAATAACATGTAGCAAGGAAATGTGCTGTCCACAGTGTGTTTAATTGAGTCAGTTTTACAGGCTAGCAGTCACGCTGAGGGTCAGCCAGGCACACAGTTGGGTCTGACAAAATGATCAAAATGAAGAGAACGGGCATTCTATGAGATGAGCTAAAAGTCTGGACACCAAGGGTTAAAGTGCAATATTTCTGGGGTCAATTTGTTTGCCTTATCAACCAAGCCCTCTGCATTCTTACCGGGACCTGAGTCACATGACCACATGTGATTTCATCTGAAGTATGCAGAAAATGTGAAGAAATGAAAGGGAAGTTTCCATTTGATGTGGACTACCTGTCCAGGGAGGCTGTCTTTACCCAATAGCCAACATGTCTTTGTTACAAGATATATAGGAATTGTGACAGTTTAGGTCCCTGAGAATTGTCCTCAAATCGAAGGTGGGACTTGTGATTGGTACTAGCTGAGCAGGACCTTGGGAAGTTATCTTAATGTTTATATTACATAGGCTCTTATAATAATTACTGGATTCCAACAGGTGACGTTTGTGTACTTGATGTAGGGCTAGTGTAAACACTGAGAAAATGGATGCTGTAACATGAGCAGGCTATAAAGCCTCTGGCTCACTTTCCGAAAGGTCCTTGCTATTAGCAGGCTTAGATTGGTTTTATTCAAATTTCCCTGTGGTTTGTAAACTTGGCGTCTGGGTCAAACTTTCCCTTAACTTTGACAAGTCAAATTGCACTACTTTATCGAGCTTACTTATTGACTGCCTTGATTTTTATAGTAGGGCATTTGTGCAGAAAGCCAAGATAGAGAGTGGCTAACTAAGGTCTTCTGTTTGTGTTTTTCGGGGCATCATCTTTGTGTATACAGGAATTCTTTTGCTACTGTGAAAAGCCCCCCTTTGTCTGTGTTATTTATGGAGGAATGCTCCTTCACTCCTCCTAAACACATTTTACTGCTGTCTTCCAAGGTGAAGCTCATTCACACACACCAAAGGACAGTTTAACATATGAAATCCCTGGGAAGCCCATTTCAATCACTACTCATTAGCTTTGGAGGAGCTTCCTACGTACTTTTCCAGGTCCCTCTACCAAACATAGTTTACATAGCTTTGATAGGGAAGAGTCATGTGTCACAGATATGTGCATAGGAACCTTGGCGGTCTGTCTCCTCCTCTGATAAATGTTTATTACTGACTTGCTCTTTCTTCCTTTCCTCTCCAAGACTTTCACTGGGTTTGAAAAGCAGTATGAAACAATAGGCATAGCAACCATTCTTTACACCAAATGAATAGACCCATAAAAGCTACAGTCTACGGACCTACTGAATAAGCTAATTTAGCAAATGCCTGTGTGCCTTAACCAGCTGAATGTATCTCTGCAGTAGGGTTTTTTTTTTTCTCTCTCTCTCTCTCTCTCCTTAAGACATACTTTAAATGAACCAAAAAGCTAAAATTAATTACAAATAGATGTCGAATTATTCTTTCTTTTTTTGTATGGAATGACTTAAATTTGGGCAGCATTTGAGACTAATTGAGCTAGCAGTGTTACTGGAAGTGTGCTGGAAAAGGCATTGGCTTTTTAGTGGGTGTGAAAATGCAAAGGGGATGAGCAAAATTTGACTGGGGGCTTATTCTCAAAGATACAACCATCAAGACCAGTTCTATGAGTGAGACTGGAATGCTGTCTTGCTGTTGATATTATTAAGTTGATTTTATACATTAAGCTTGACGTATTAAGGCTGCTCTGTCCTTGTTAAGGGGTTGGGTTAAAATGTCTAAATGCCTGCACTGATCCGAGGAAGTCTGCTTGTTCTGACCAGTGCTTGGGGTTTCCAGTGTTTTCTAAAGACTCGCTTAAAGATACTTCAATGATGAAATTTTCTTCCAGCGTTTAATTTTCTTTACATTGTTAAAATGCTCAAACACACACACACGCAATGCATTAGCAATGTATCTTCCCATCATCTGTCCCATTTTCTTCCTTGAGTATAAAAGCGATTTCCAAATGCCATGTCCTTTCATCCCTCCATGCACACCACCCCTCTTAAACTGTTGCATCACTGTTAAGTCATGATCCCATTACAGACTAGGACTAAAGGTATGTCATTGCTTACCGTAAAGCCATTTATCCAGAAATATCTCAGGGGAAGGGCACCCGGGAATGGAGTGAAACACATCTCCTTCGGAAGCAGTTGTGTCTGTATAGTTTTCTTTTCCTGGGAAGATTAACTGAAAAAAAGAGAAATAAGGACAATTAAAAACAAAATCATGGTATCTGGAGAACATGAAAGCATCCTCACAGCCAAACTGCTCTGTGGTTATTTGTTATTTATTCATATGAGATTAAGCTGTAAGCAAATTGCACAGAAACACTAGTTCATCCCAAACACCCCATGTTAGCATGTAGACCTCAATGGTGACATCCACTGGGACCTATTTCTTCCACAGTGTCCTTAGACTTCTCATCTTATTTAGGGAATCAATAGCAATTGTTTGACAGGAACATCGCCCAGGATATTCTGTATTTTAGAAAACTAGAAATCAAATTTTTATATTTTGGATTGAGTAGCACTTGCTATAGGCTGTAAAAAGGTGCGGCTAACTTGTAACTTTCTTTTCCCCTATGCATGTAAAAGGAGTGACTTGTGGGATGTGTCTTCATTTGAATAACCTCGAAGCAACCAGAGTTCTAATTAAAAGGCATCGCCTGACTTTTCAGCCAGTGACACACCATCTTTCATCTAGGCAAGGAAGCGTTTTATCAGGTCTGTGGTGACAGCCTTGGGTGGCACTATTGTCATCCTTCTATTGAAACTTGAGTCTATGGCTCTATGTGTCAGAAAACTTACAACTGACACCGCCCTTAAAAAAAATGAAAGCATCTTGACTATACATACCTTTTACATGTTTTCCTTCATAAACCCATAATGCTAAAATCCTTCCCTGTGTAACACCACCAGAGATGGTAGCCAGGGGACCAGTTTATCATCTCACATTGTCCCATCAGGATTTTGCGTAGCATTAACACAATTCAAATTGCCCTCCTCCAAACAGCAGCATGTATGCTTTCTTAATAAACTTATTTGGATCTTGCCTTTTACCTAAAAATCTAGGTTTATTAATAGACCAGCATTCTCAGTTCTTTATACATGTAAGGACAACAAACAATAGTTTCGAGATTGATTTTCTTAGAAAAGTAATTGTAAACTATATATCAACATTTTAAAATGCAGCTACTTAGGGAAAAAAATGTCCAAATAGTATCCCCCCACCCCATAACAAATGTGGTTAAGAAATCCCACATAGTTCCCTGAGTACTATTAACTGAAACTGTACCTAAATCATTCTAAGTATAACATCAGTCTTAGAGACCCAGAAGTACAAACAGGCAAATAAACAAGTTACCCAGGCCAATTGTTTCAAAGACCTACCTGGCCTCTGTTCGATGATAAAAAAGAGACTCATCACAAAAATAAAAAATACCAAAAAATAATGCTGAAATCTCATTTTTTTCTTTTTTCACACACGAGTGAACAATAGCTCTCCAAGTAAAGAAATAGTCTGTAAATAGTGTGGGCAGTATCTGTCCAGCTCAACCCGCATCCTACAGACAGACCTCAGAGGGCTGCCAGCTGCTTTTTCCAGAAAAGGTTAATGATCACATCAGACAAGGTTACTGGTGCACTGGGCTGTGGTCAGAGCTCCCAAGCCTCAAGCCCCTCCTCCATTCCTCTCTGCTGCTCCCCTGTCACTCCCCTTTATTTCCATAAGCAAATATTGGTGAAATGGACCATTCAGGCATGCAGTAACTTCAGTGGGAAGTCTCCTCCGCAAAAGCTCCAAGGAGAGGGGCTCCAATTCAATCTGTTTATGAAGAAAAATGTAAAAGGAGGCCTGGGTTGGCTCCTCTCCTCTCCATTTGCATCTGTTTAAACTTTGCATTGCCCATATTGGTCCCACATGCAGAAAGCAGTGGAAATGACAGGAAGTTTCTCTTTTGTCCTCTTGCAGAAGGAATGTGGGGGCTCTAATGTAGGATTTCCAAATGCTTGATGCCAGCACTGTGCTGGAGCGCTTTCTCTTTACCAAACCTACTACAAAGTGGTGCCTATTTATATTAAATCTCCAAATGGCTTAATCTCTGTGGGTTTCCATCATCAGAGGTTCCCGGAGTTTAGGATGTTCAGAAGAAGTTTTTAGAAATGTTTATCTTTTTATTTAAGTGCAATTTAAAAAGTAATGCAGATCATTCTCATTTACAAACATCTAAGAGTTTTCAGAAGCAGCTCAGGCAAGCCACAGACACGAAATCAGTGCTCTGTTGTAAATTTGTGTGTGGTGGAGTGTCAGGTAACAACAGGCACACAGACCACATTATAGATGGAGAGGGAACTTTCTAGCTCATCTCCAAAGAAACAAAAGGAGTCCAGTTTTGTCTTGCACACATAGTAAGTTCTGTTTATAGGCTTTCTTACCTGTAATAAAAAGCTGTTATAAATGCAAATTATTATTCTAAGCCAGGACATGTAGCTATATTCTGAATTATAAATAGACCCAAGGTACTGAACCTAAAGCACATGTGAGTGCTTGTGAATTGTCAGGAATTTGGTTATATTTGGCATCTTTAGAGTTAGGTGGTAGGCACACACAGCCTTGGGCTTCTTAAGGTTTGAAATTCATGCACAGTTTGATTTTATTTCACAAATCAATCTGTAAAATTCCATATCTGCCTATTGCAGTTTATAAAGAATGTTTTTTTTTTCTAATTCTTTAAAACATTTAACAAATTATTTATGGCCCACTGTGGTGGCACGCACCTTTAATCCTAACACTCAGAAGGCTTAGGCAGGCAGATCTCTGTGAGTTCCAGGCCAGCTTGTTCTACATACTGAGTTCCAGTACAGCCTGTGCTACATAGCAGACAGACTATGTCTTAAAAATAAATAAATAAGCCAAACAGTGGTGGCACATGCCTTTAATTCCAGCACTCGGGAGGCAGAGGCAGGCAGATCTCTGTGAGTTGGAGGCCAACCTGGTCTACAGAGCAAGTTCCAGGACAGCCTCCAAAAGCTACAGAGAAACCCTGTCTTGAAAAACAAAATATATATAAATTTATTTAGTAAGTATGGGTGTTTTGACTGCATGTATATCTGTGCACCAGGTATGTGCAATGCTCACAGAGACCAGAAGAGGGCATGAGGTTTCCTGGAGCTGGAGTTACAGACAGTATTGAGCCCTGGAATGAACCCAGGACATTTGCTAGAGCAGGTACTGCTCTGAACTGCTGAGCCATCTGGCCAGACCTGGCTTATTTATTTATTTTTTAAAGAATTTTTAATTCAGGTGTGGTGGGGATGCACCTTTAATCCCAGCACCTGGGAGACAGAGGAAGGTGGATCTCTGAATTTGAGGCCAGCCTGGTCTACAGAGTGAGTTTCAGGACAGCCAGGGATACACAGAAAAACCTTGTCTTGGAAAACAAAACTAAGTTCTTTGTATGTTGTGTGTGCGCATGCATGTGCACACTCTGGGAGGCCAGAAGAGGGTGTTGGATCACCTGGAGTTCGAGTTACAGGCAGTTGTGAGGCCCTGACACTGGTGTTGAGAACCCATCTCAGGCTGCTGGAAGAGTAGAAAGTGCTCTTAACTAGTGAACTGACCCTTGGGCCCTAGTACAGAGTCCTTTTATAAATGAAATAATGACCTAATCCAGACAGTAAACACTGATTTAAAAATAGTTCCCAGATGTGGTGACACTCACTATTATTAATCCCAATCCTTGGGATACAGGGTGCAGGCAGGTTTCTGAGTTTGAGGCCTTTCTGACCTACATAAGGATGGAGTTCAAGGCCAGCTAGGATTACAGAGTGAGATTGTTATTACTGGAGAAACTGGGGTTCCCTTTCATGAGTTCTTAGCCTGGTTAATAAAGAGTTTTAAAACAGAATTGAAAGGAAGTCAAGGATAGTTTTATTAGAGTTTGGTGGATTAAAAGGATAGGGCAGGCAAAATGTAAATCTTGGAAGCTGCCCAGAAGAGGAAGACAAAGAGGAAGAGAGGAAACCATGGCATTTGTGTGCAGCCTCACAGTGAATGATGGAGATAGCTTTCCAGAAAGAGCAAGAATGGCCTGGAGTGTTACAGAGAGCATGTGCAGTGAGGGAAAGTGTTAGGAAGAAAAAGAATAGAAGAAGAAAAAGGGAAAAGTAGACTTTTCTGAGTTTGAGACCACGGTGAGCTGCTCAGAACAGTGAATGGTGGCACTACTATGTAACAGCTCTGCTAGCAACCACAGGGGCAGGGGCTCCTGGGAGGGCTAGCATCATATTTCACTGAGGGAGTAATTATCCCTTCATCTCCTTAGCATGGTTTTAGGTGAATCAGAGGTCCTGGGAGTAGACTCTTCGCCTGATGACAGACAGGCCTAGATGTACTAAGTCTCAAGGAAGGAGACAGTAACAGTATATAAAGTTCCAGTCTTGGAGCAGATCAGAATGTCATAGGCTACCCAGGGACAGGGTAGAATAGCTTTCTCTTGGTGGACTTCAGTAAATCCATGATATTGGTCCTCTGTAGCCTCCAAGACGGTTGGACACCACCTCACCAAAACAACCAAGTGGGGCCTGTGAGATGGCTTACTAGGAAAGACACTTGCTGCCACGCCCAGCAACCTGGTCTGATCCCGGGGAACCAAAGCGTTAAAGTAGAGAATTCTTGAAAGTCATCCTTTTGACACCCAAATTGTCCACTGTGACTATTGTGTGCCCACATATGTACACATAATAAATAAACAAATATATAATTATAAACGTTCATCAAATAAAAATAAAACTACCTCACACACACAGATAACTTAATGGTTTGTGTATCTTTATTGTCATTATTTTGAGACAGGGCGTTGCAAAGACTTTGCAACCTCCAGTGTGTAATGGCTGTTAGTTCCTGATGCTTCCCACCTCCCTCCCCTGGTGTGCTTTGGTTACAGGTGTGAACCAGCATGCCTAGCTAAAACTTGGCTTCCTATTGGTGGAGTTAAAAAGGTTTGGTGTAGGAAAATATTGAATTTGTGAGATGCTAAACATTTATTTATGTAGTTTAAATAATTTTTGAAAAAAAATTGTGATGCTGAGCGGTGGTGGTACATACCATTAATTCCAACACTTGGAGGCAGAGGCACTTGGATTTCTGAGTTTGAGGCTAGCCTTTTTTACAGATCAAGTTCCAGGACAGTCAGAATTACACAGAGAAGACCCTTTCTCAGAAAACTGAAAGGAAAAAAAGAAAAGAAAGAATCGGGTATCACCACACCTGCCTTCAATGCTTATTTTTACAAGTACAATAACAAATGATTATAGAATTGATGGACAACTGAAATGCCAGGCACTGAGGGACAATGTCATATCTCTGATTTTTGTGAATGTGAGGCAACAGTTGTGGTCAGTCATTCATTTTGGCATTGAGTAAACAGGTATGGAGAAGTCTTGGCGGGAAAGTGGAGACAGATTGATGCTGGTGGCTCTGCAAACGCAGCTGTATGAAATGATGCTCTTGGACCACCTCCAACAGATGAGCCCAAAGCACTGCCCCCTGAGCCAGGTACCATGCTAAGCGTGTTTCCTATGTTACTTCACAGAATCACCCCAGACACCAAAGTCTTAAACTCCATCCGCTTACTTGGTGAAGGAATTGATAGCCGAGGAAGAGGAGTCGATAGGGTTCCATCCTATAGTCTGAGCTTTCAATCATTTTTGCTCCAGTTTGCTCTTTAAGGTGCAAATTCTAGTTCCTATTTTCAAAGTAGTTTACTGAAGCCAGTGTAAGAATAAGGGCATTTGCTGGATGTGGTGGGGCATACCTTTAATCCCTGCACTTGGGAGGGAGGAGGAGTTCAAGGCCATTCTGCACTACATAGGAGTTCTGGGCTAGCCAGAGCTACTTGTAGATCCTGTCTCAAAAAAAAGAAAACACAGATATCTAATCTGTCTTCTCCATTTTTATCTACCCATAGCTCCATGCAGCTCTTACTCTTCATCAGAGAATATCAGAGAAGCTTCCTTAGAATTGAACTGTTGCTGAGGGTTCTCTTGTCCCACCAGGTCCCACAGCCCTTTCAGCCCCAAATAACCACACAAATGCTATATTAATTATGAAACTATTGGCCGATGGCTAGGGCTTCTTATTGGCTAGCTCTGTCTTATTTGTTAGCCCATAGCTACTAATCTATGTATTTCTACATGATCTTATCTTACTGGAGAACGCCTGGTGCATCCTATCTTTCCCCGTCTCACATGGCAGCTTCTCTCTGCCTACTTTTCCCAGCATTCTCCTCATCTGGTAGCCCCACCTATCCTTTCTGCCTGGCCACTGGCCAAACTGTGTTTTATTCATTAACCAATAAGAGAGACATATATGCATTGATAGGACATCCCCTATCAGTGGACTATGGTTGTTAGTGCCGAGTCACCACTAGTCAAAGGGCAGAGACTAAACTGTGGTGTGCTGGGCCC